CATGTCTCGCCTGGTTATAAATGAAAGCATCGTTTTGCCTTTGGCATCGGCCATCAATGCACAGAAAATGCGGAGCCTTCAAATATTTGTCAATACTTGGAATCGGTGTGCCCCGTCGCTTTGACACCTGAAATCTAGAGCACTCCGGTCTGTTTTCGGGGAACACTGGCGGTCGTTGCCCTTTGAGAGGCACGGGGCAGGAGAATGACCTCTGTGACGTCACATTGGCGTCACTGCAGGCGCGGATACAAGGGGGGGGCCATGGGGGCCATGGCCCCCCCCCTTGGCCGATTTTTTTCAAAAATAAAATAAAAAGTTAAAAAGCTGAAAAGGGGGCCTCCTGAAAATAAAGTGGCCGAAATCCGATGAGTTTTTTTTTTTTTAACCTACCCACTTAGTTATTTCTTAGAAGACTAGCTGAGAAGACTTCTTTGTTAGAAGATTGGTAAAGCTTTTCATAACTTGGAGGTCTCTTATACTCACAGAGATGACCACTTTTACAGGGCCTCCTAACCTGCATAGAGGGCCTCCAAGCCTGCACAGATGTCCTAACAAACACAAAATCTCTTAGCCTACACAGAGGCCTCCACTCGCATCCGAACAAAGGGCCTCCTAGCCAACACAGAGGGCCTCCTAACTCACACAGAAGGTCTCCTATCCTGCACAGAGGGACTCCAAGCCTGCACAGATATCCTCTTCGCCAACACAGGACCTCTTAATCTCCACAGAGGGCCTCCACTCGCATCCACACAAAGGGTCTCCAAGTCTGTACTGAGGGCCTGCGCTCGCATCTGCACAGAGGGCCTCCTAGCTATCACAGAGGGCTTCCTAGTTCACATACAAGGCCTCCTAGCAGGGGCGGATCCAGGGGGGCGATAGGGACTATAGCGCCCCCCGGGCGACTTTCTCATTTTCTTTTTTTTTGCAAAAAAAGCATGATAGGGGGCCCCCAAAAATAAAGTGGACGAAATCCAGGCTTAAACTTTTGGGGGTAGGTAGGGCCCCCATCGATGGGGGGCCCCCGATTCGGAATAGCCCCTCCCTTGGCAAAATGCTGGATCCGCCCCTGCGTCACTGTGACGTCATCATCAACTGGGACACCCGGAGCTGTGCGCTTATTGCACGTGGGGGAAGCATCCCGACACGGAGATGAAACGGAGGCACGGTATTGAATTATCATGTCGTTATTAAACTCTCGGTATCTTTTTGTTATATGCCTATTATCCGCTCACAGATTTGTTACGCGACGGACAGCGACCGTCACCAAGCCCTTTTTGTATTTCTTCCCACTTGCTAAAACACACAGAGAGATCATGCAATGATTCTGCAGCGGCGACAATGTGAAGCTCAGCTTTGATCGGGGTTAGGACATAATGCTCCATTATATATCTTGTCTATGCATTAGGTAATTTTGGCGCACAGCTGATCACTATTTACGTAAATTTATAAAAGTAACTTATTGAGACAGAGGAGAGTTCTCAGGCGTTGCGTCTATGACAGCATATGATAATCATGAGCATTATCATTTGCTGATATGATAATGCCAGCAGGCTTCTGGTAGCATCTACCTACACTTAGACCAATGACAATTCTTTCCGCGACGCCATCAGTGTTTTCGGCTCAGTTAACTCTGCGGGGACTTGTCCGCCGGGTCGGTCGGTTCCAGTTTTTACAGTCCGTCGCTGCCGTTGGGAGTGGTCATCGTCGTACCCCGATCCTGTCCAGTCAGTGACCTGTCTGTGTGCTGACCTCAACAAGGTCACAGGACCGGTCGACGCTAGTTTGAGGCTAAAATAGTTGTAACTAGTTTAGATTTGCACTCTCGTGCAAATATTTTGGTGAAGTTTGTTTCGAATCTTTTAAATCCTCCCATTGCATGGTTTTTAGGAAGTTTGCTACGTTTTTTTGTTTTTGTATGTTGACTTAAAATTGTTGATGTATTTGTTTTTCATTTGTGTGATCAACACATTTCTGCGAGTTGCATGATTTTCGATTTGTACACCTTGCGTGCTTGATGTGGTTTCTGTATTTGCGTGCGGACGCGTCCGTTGTATGATGTAAAAGTTTGGCTGGATGGGTAAAATTAGTGCCATTCGAAATAAATTGCTGCTCTCTGATACAGTGATGATCTAAAAAGTAGATGGATTTTGAAATGTTTTGGGATGTTCTCTACATCTGCATTCCACAATAAAGGGTGATATTGTTATTGCTATTTAATACGTCGCGTGCTATGTGAATAATAAAAATCATGCCTTCTATTTTCATGACCTCAGTAGCCAGTTTTTTGGTAGCATCCCTTACGACGGCCCGTGATATTGTTGGCGCTGCCACCTAGGCATGTTTTTATATAAGCCGGTGCCGACAAGTTTAGTGCGTGCCGGGCTTTTGACCTCACATTGGCTGCTCGTCGATATATAGTCGTGTTATCGAACCGAACCCGGCAGTGGTAGTCCTGCAGTGAAATCGATCAGAAGCGATCATGAGGGCGGTAAGTAACTAATCATGCTTTTTTTCTACGATCATAGCTAAAGAAGGCTCGAGCTAATTGCACTTGCAGAAGTGATACGGCTAGGTATAACCCGGGAAAGCGAAGGAAGTTGAGGTTTCGGTTGCATTTTTTTTGCGGTTTCAGTGTTAGCGAGATCCTTACTGAGATATTTTTGTCCCATTTCACAATGTTCTTAGCTTTTTAAGTCTTCCTTCCTGAAAATTACGTGTTTTATTTGACATTATTTGAGGATTTTACTATACAAACTGTTCATGGTTTGCCATTTATTTATGACTTTACTCCTAACTCCTAAGTTGTCTCAAAGTAACTTTCCTAGAGAAGCTGGCTTAACTGCGCTAGAATACGCCTCTTTATTACCGTTAGAGTTGCCCGTCGATCTTCCTCGGTCAATCTTCGTTGCATTATGTGCTTTTCCTGCTTTATGATCGAGTGTTTTCCCCGATATTCTGAACTCTCCCCCTCCCGGACCCCGCAGTTGTCAGTGGTGCTGCTGGCGGTAGCGGCCGTGGCAGAGGATGTCACCTTCAGGTCACCTGAGGGTCATATCTACCCGGCCAGCACCGCACCTCTGAACAGGGAGGACCTGGAGCCGGACAGCTATCACATGGGTGAGCGGAACTGGGGGAGGGAGTGTGTGTGGGGGGGGGGGGAAGGGAGAGATAAACAGCGAACAAAATGCGTATAAGTGAGCTCTAAATAGTCTCTCGGCAAACTATTTATCAAATCATAAAATAGGTTAATACTGGTACTTCCAGTCTCGCTGTGTTATTTCTGTTCCATTTCCACCTCTCTTGGGAGCTTTATAAATTACTGGGCTACATTATTTCGTACATAATCCACGTTGGAAACTTCTGTGATTAATTGTGCACTTCAAGTTCGACTGCTTTAATGGTAGTCATGCAAAATTGATTATGCAATTTTCGACTTTTTCTATAGCGACTCTGAGCTTTATTTGACGTCTAAGCTGAGAATGATTTTGAATGATTTGAAAGGAATTATTTTGAATGATTTGAAGTTAATCTAAATATAGATCTGGCTGAAAGTCTGACACCCGTCTCCGTTTCTCAGACGACGCCTACAGCGTCCACCGGTCACTGGGAGCGGCCGCCGAGGTCCACACCAGAGCCCTGCTGGCAGGGGTGCAGGAGGCCACAGAGCACTCCGACCGCGGAGTGCATGCTGCCGGACACTCCGGAGTGTCCGTCACCGCTTACGACGATGCAGTGTCTGCTGCTAATTATAACGGAGTGTCGGAGGCTACTTATACCGGGGAGTCTGTCAGCTCTGTACCTAATCGAGTGCATGTTTATTCTCACTCGTACAGCGTAGTACCCGGCAGTGCTGCCGACGGAGTTTCTGCATCCCATTACTCTTACAATGGGGTTTATCCGAGCGTTTACAATGGAGTGCCTGCTACCTCTTACAACGAACTGCCTGTTACGACTTACAACGGAGTGCCTGTTACTACCTACAATGGAGTGCCTGTGAGCACTCATAACGGAGTACTGGTGAGCACTTATAACGGAGTGCCTCTAATCCCCTACTACGGGGTGCCCAACTATCATCAGGGGGTGCCGTTTTTCGGCTATACGGCCGCTCAGTTGAGCGCCCTCCACTCGGTAGGGGGTTACAGCGTGGCCCCTACCCCTGGCGAGGTCGGTTCCGATGTGTACGATGGGTACAGCTTAGGGCCGTTCCCTGTTGATGTCTCCAAGAATGATTATTGAGCGCCCCGTATCTCTGTATCTTTTGAGTACATGGTTCAATATTAGGTCAGAGGCTGCATTTATATGTCCAACATTGTTGCTGACATATGTACTGACTGAACGAGGTGATGCGAAAGGGCATGGAAACACAATGATTGAACGTAAATACACGTGAAAATGCGCGATATATGCTGTTTGATAACGTCTGTCAAACAAGCGGCGAGCAGCGAGCAGCGAATCCAGCAGCGAGAAATGGGCCATCGCGATTTAGCTGAAAATTTGCTCACAGAACCTTCTCAGCACGTTGATTCCGAAAATCATGGTCTCTAGGGTGGGAATCTTTACCGTTCTCGAGATAGAACCCTCTAAAGTTCTTACCACCCATGACCAGGCCATCCCGATTTGGATGTGCTCACAGAGCCTTCTCAGCACGCTTATTCCGAAAATCATGGTCTCTAGGGTGGGAATCTTTACCGTTCTCGAGATAGAACGCTCTTAAGTTTTTTTACCACCCATGACCGGGCCATCCCGATTTGGCTGAAATCGAGCTGTTAAGAAAACCCTTTTAAGATTGAGCTGTTCTTTACTAAACGGTGTGTGAATGTGATCCTGATGTTATGCCCTGACTGGCTGGCACTTATTCACTGGCACATTGCAACAACTGAACACATGGAAATAATAAACAACGCCAATTAGTTGTTTTGTGACGTTTTTATTGTGACAAAACGGACAGGGTAAACGACTCGATCAGCCTTGATTAAAAACTCATTGCGAAGCCGTTTCAATCCTGCTTACCTCGCACTTCGTTTATATTCAAAAGCTTTCAGTCAAAAACAATGCATAATATGCCTGCACCATGGTAATTACTCTGTATTTATTATTTTCTTCTCAGGTCTGCAGCTTAACATAGTTGAGAACACGTGAATCAAAAAGGGATAGAGAATCAGTGAAGCTAAGTAAGGTTGAACCCTTGCCATTTTTAAGCATGTGAAAGGATCCCATTAAAATGCATCCAGGTTCACAGTCGGAATAGCCAATGTCCTGCAGTCGATGACCTGGTTAACACCCAGTGTGGTTAGGAATGCCAGCGGCTGCACCCGGGTGAAGTCGTTCCCAAACTCCGGCCCAAGCGTGTCACACAGGATCCTGGCCCAGCTGCTCTTCCGAATTTCCTGCAGCTGTGTCGACGAGAAACTATGTGGGAAGCCACCGTTATCGTAGAAGAACCGGTCTCCGTAACGCAGGTCGAAGAATTGCTGGCCAATCAAGCACTGGAAGGTGGGACCGACCTGCGCCCCTGGTGCACGCTCCTCCGCTACACCTCCGATGAAGAGGTCCACGTCGCGAGGATCGTCATACACGGAACGAAGCTTGTCGATCGCTTCCGGCGACATGACTCGAAACAGGTCACCCCAGAAGGCGACGTCGACTATACCGCAAGCTCTAGCGACCTGCGCGTAGGTTGGAGTTCCGTGGTCGCGCCCGCGCTGGATGTTGAATGCGAGGAGGTCGAGGCCGAATATGAAGTTTGTGGTGAAGAGCTGTTCGTGAAGTCCTTCCGCCATGCTTGTGTCGAACGTTTCCGATCGGCGCGCGACTAGCGTCCGCGCGTGGCCGACGAGACTCTCTGTGATGATGCTCGGGTCGAAGAAGGTTCTGGTGATGTTGATCGACCTGAACACCTGACCTTCCGCGTTGATAAGGTCGTAGACATCTCGAACCATGCTGTGGCCGAAACGGAACGCAGCGCTAGAGAAAGAGTTGGACATGGACGCGTCAACGAGGGGATCGTATAAGTTTGAAAACCCGCTTCTCAGTGGCAGTAATCCATGCGCATTTGCGTAGTCATATCCAATGATGATCGGCAGCCACTCATTGTAGATGATATGCTGCCATTCGGCATTCAGGACCCTCCTGGCCTGCTGGAAGAGCAGCTCGTCGTTCCAGTTGGGATGCCTGCGGGCTAGGCCACGAGCGATGCGGTTGTGTTCGCGCACAAAGATGGTGTGGATGACGACCAGACCGCTCTGTTCGTTAACACGACTGTCACCACCCAGGAAACAAGCGCCGGCGGATGGGCGGCAGTCATTACCTGTCCGCGGAAGGAGATCCTGCGCGCTGGTAAGCATGAGACCACCTCGGAAGGCGCGCAAAGCGTTGAACTTCGTCTCGTCGCTGCCATAGACGTTGGATGAATCTAGATAAGCGGTGAGCTCGTTAAGAGGATTGGCAGGACGAGCAATGCACAGCGGATCTGGAGCTAGTAAAGAGCGAACAACGCTCATACAACGCTGGCCAAACTGGCTGTAGAATGGGTCGTCGCTGGGAATACGGATGGGGATGCATGCAGGATGAAGTGGAAAGTCTGGGAAAGTCCTGCCGTTATTCAGGCAGCACTCAATACCACTGCCATCGCTGCGTCTTGTCAACAGCGCATGCGTTAGATCATGATCGATAAATTGACCCCATTGCATCACAGACAATGTGAAGTCGCGTAGTTCATTTGACATTGTGTCCAGCACGCGTTCACTGACTTTCCTTGCGCTGGGAAGGGTACCTCCTCGGATTGCTCTGGTTCGAGTCGTGAACAAACCGTCGTCGTAGGTGTTTGGAAGGAGGCGCTTGAACCCTGTTCTTCCACGCCCTCTTGTTGGGAACCGCAAATTGTTGCAAACACCGGTGACCGAGCGGTAGAGACTGGGCTGGCACAGGGTCGGCGCCTCTGGGACACACTCAGGGACGAGCAGCACTGTCGCCAACGACATGGGAGCGCTCGAGCCGATCCTGTTTTCAATTTCGTCGGACGCTCCCGTCGGTCCAATGCTCTGCACGCGTTCTAGGCTGCCACTAGAGAAGGACTGAAGATCAGCAACTGTCGAGACAGACTGCTGCGCTCGCTCGTTTAGCGCCAAGGCTTCGTTTGAGGGCATGGAGTTAAGAAAGGTGAGAGCTGTCGGACTTTCTGGATCTGGAGATGGTGCTTGAGACTGAGCTGCTGCCGCGAACGTACTTGTGCTCGGAGAGAACGCCTGTCTTCCGGATTGGATGACGCCTTGAAGAGAAGTGACGGCAGACTGAGAAACTCGGAAAAAGTCCTTCGATCCCATTTTCGTCGTATCAATAGGACTAAGACTGGCCAGGGGCGAGGAAGTTGGAATCGCTCGTTTGGACCTGTGGGGTTTTGGGCCACCAGCGTTCTGGCTGCTTTGGGTCTGGGTGGCATGGAACTGGCAGATAACTCCGGGAGACTGATCTGGAAGACGACACCAGTTGTAAAGCAACAGATGAGGCTGGGACGCCACTTGGGCACACAGAACTAGTGGGACACAGGCGCCACCTCTTGACGTACCCTTCAGTCCTCTTCCGCTTGTCAGAGGAGCTCCATCACCTCGAACGAGTGGGGCTTCCTGACGAGTGTCAGATCCCGTACCGGAGGAGAAGCACGCGACTCCTGATGAACCGTCAGAGAGCTTACAAGTTGAGTGGGACCCTATGGCAGAGTGAGAGGTGGTTTTTGGACAGAGCACCGGGGGAAGGCACGTGACGTTGGGTTCATGAGGCAGGTAGGTCTCGTAGCTGTTCTTGTCCTTTGTTGTTGTTGCAGTTGTTGTAGTTTTTGTCGTCATTGGCTTGTTATCCAACTTCGTCGCTGTTGTTGCCTTGCTGTCTGGCATCTGTGATGTCTTTGTTTGGTTTTGCTTGGAAGTTTTGTTTCTTCTGTCTTGCTTCGGTGCTGCTGTGGTCTTGTTGTCTGTATTTGATGCTTTTGGGCTCGATACTATTGTCGTATTGTCTAGCTTCATTCCCATGGTTTCGTTGCTAACAGCGTGTTCGCTTCCTGTTGTATTCTTGCTTCTTCCATGCTGGTTTGATATGATTGAATTTTTCTCACTCTTGTTTCGATGGTCTCGTTGACGCAATTTTCTGTCATTCCCCTTTCTTCCGCTGTTTCTGTGTCTTGCATTTCTGTTCTTTTTATTTTCATTATCGTCATCGTCATCGCCATCGTCATCGTCATCGTCATCGTCATCGTCATCGTCGTCATCATCATCATCGTCATCGTCATCATCATCACCAGTTTCATCGTCATCGTCGTCGTCTTTTGACTTAGGCCTGCTGATGGAATGTTCATGTGGTCCTGACGCCTCGGTAGCCCCTCTCTGATGGCCCTCAGAGCCCTCACAGCACTCTCCCTTGTCCCCAGTGGAGAGGGCACACCCAGTCTTGGTAGCTGCTCGCCGCGGACATTGCTTCTTGCACTCACAGCCGGCTGTGAATTGGCTGACGCAGAATAGAATCACCGCCACGAGCAGCACCTGAAAACGGTGCAGAAGAAAGGAATCAGATGATGTCACACATTGAATATGCATGTTTAGCAATATTGTTTTTAATGCACGGACGTACGAATCAGAATTTTCCATGCAACCAATGTCATGATAAATCTTTTTGCAGTTATGTTTTTTAAGTCTGGTGCTAAGTCTTGAACTAAATTAGCACAATGAATAGGGCCGACTTTTGCACTGCTGCTTACCAAGTGAATGTTTACCAAATAAATAAATGCTACCAAATAAATAAATGTTTTAGCTCAGTAAGCAACGGTGACGATTTTATTGGTAGCATTTACGAAGAACAAAATAATATAAATAACCTCTGATGAAAAACAATAATTTTCTTACACTTGGTAAAAAAAGAGGAAAAATCACACGATACAAAAATAACGCGCGCGCTACGTAACGCTACGTTATAGTACTACGTATAGTATATTACAAATGCCTGAAACAGATCACAGTGGCCCATATAATTTTGCATACCATATACTCATTCTTACACTCTTACGTACCGTTTTGGTGTCCATGGTGGCCCGCCTTCTGAGACGACCCGCTCCGCCGCCCAAGCACCTTCCGTGAAGAAGGCACGGTACCTCGGTCTAGACGCTTCACTTCCCTCGACGGTACCTCTGCCCGTACCGGCCCGGTCTCGGGCCCGGCTCCTGCCGGGCTCTGGCCCCTCCTCGCCGTACCCCGCCTATATAGCTTCTCTGCAGGGTTGTGACATGTCAGCAACGTTTTCCTCAATGTGTGGTCAAAATTGATAACAATGGATGGTAGTGAGAGGGATTCCTGAGCTATAGTGCTGCGCCACAGTGTTTTGCAATGGTTTGGCTTCCTTGTGGCCATTTGCTGAAGGCATGCACGGTGCACCCCCTAGTTTTAGTTAATCATTGGAAAGCGGCAAATGGAAATTGAAGAGGCCCACATGTATGAACATTTTTGAATGTTGACTTGATCTTGGCCGGCTTAAAACATCGGTATTATAATCAGAAGTGTGAAACCTTTCAATGGCCCTTAATCCATTAAATTTCCTTTCAACTTCAAGTAGACGTGTTTCAGTGACATTTTGTCTTGACGATACCTTTGCGATCAATGCGATCCTTGTTTTTCTTGTGGCGTTTTATTTTATTGTCTAGTAGGTATCTACATTCTACACTCTACAGGCCCTTCAGTGTTCAATTACTGGTCAAGCTATTTGATTCGGTTCTGAACTGCAATGACATGATTCTGTTTCATTACTCGAGTCATGTTGAACACTGTTTTTAAACAAGCCGTGCAAAATGACGGAAGGGCATGTTTGTCATGTTCGGTGACAAATTCTCTTGTACCGTACACAAGCACAATGATGTGAACATATGGTGTCCCACAACGAACACAGTTTTGGGGTGTAACAAGGAAAATGCCAGCTGCGCATTTATTTGCGGCTGATAGATGATGGTATGCCTCTGCTGGTTTTTATCTCAGTACCCGATTCCAACGACGCTGTTGTGTTTTGACAGTATGTTACATGACCAGTCAATGTTTTGATAATTAAATAGGTGAAGGTACAGCAGCGCGAATAAGGAAGACCCAGACAAAGCTGAGCTCTTCGCCACTGCAGTTGCAGCTGATGATCAATGATTCAGTTTGAATTATGGATTATTTGGGTAAAGATGATGGATTGACACTGACACAGTTTCTGTATCGGAACCTTTGTTAGTCGTGCTACGCAGTTCCAGAGTCCAGGAAGTTCTTTGCAGCTGTTGAAAATAACTAACTGAAGACGTTTTCCCGGCCAGGCTGCAATGGCAGGTGGAACAATGCCGTGAAACCGGGGGGGGGGGGGGGGCACGGGGCCATAACCTACCTACCTATGTTTAGAATGTACCATATGAATTATCCAGATGGTAGGATGCATTGTATTCGAACTTTCTTACGCTCAATAGCTGTCTTACGTCACCGCTTATCGATCATCTGTGAAATACCCTCCACTCTGCAACGTTTTAGATATGTTGATTTTGAGGCTTAGACGGTGTACAGAGATCTATGGGCGATGCGTTTGGCTGTTAAGCATTGTCACTATTTGGTGAGATATAATCATATGCATGACTTGTGACTCGTGAAACACTGGGATTTTACCACTGGCACTACAAAACATGAACCAGAAATCGGCGGATCATGGGTTGGCATTAGATTGGAACCAATAACGAGCGTTTGCCGTAATATGCTTAAAAACTACGAGATAGGCGATTGAATCGTTTGACCGTGGGGTTGACCCAGCTTCACCCGTAACACGAACCATGATCACTTGGACACAATACGTTTTCTTCGGGCTTTTACCACACTGTCAGTCAAGTGTCAAGTATTTGTCCCCCAGCTTTTCAGTAGACTCCATCGGTGCCCCATTGCGTGTCCTCGGCTTCAGTCGTTCTCTGCAGGATTGCAACAAGCTCTACAAACATAACTGAATTGCGAACGGTTCTGCGGAAACTCCATATCACTAGAAAAATTTGCGAGGCACCAATCTGAGTCATAGTTGGTGCATCTTGATATCCTGGGCCTCTTACCGATGTGACACGCTCTGTGGCCACTATCCTGCTTTGAGGCAAAGGTAGGCTCAGGGTTGCCCGGAGTTTTTACAGTTTGCATCGTTTAAAAAAAAAGGCGTGGCGTCGACCTGTTGCGCGGCTGCTGTGTGTGTATGCTGGGCACTGGAATGAACTGGATCATCGTTATTTTTACGTTCGCTGCTAGAACCTACAGCAAGAAAAATTTCAAAGCTGCAACATTACATCAAACACCTATAGACATTGAGGAAACCTCTATTATACATCGAACTCGCTTTTTAACCCATTAGATACGCTTGGCAGCTTTTGCTGCCACCGGACAAAATAGCGCCGCATTCCTAAACGTTGCGGTGAACATTCAAGGTTTCTCACCAGAACGGAAGACCAAAACAATGCACGTCATGTGCGCTCCGAATTATTGATCGAGAAAGCGAATGTGCTGAGAAATAAACAATTTATCGCGAGGGTGCAAGGGGCGCGCGATGGCGGCCGTGCGGCGGACACCAAAGAAGGAAGTTGTTCGCGCGCCGTCAATGAGAAACGTCGTTCACGGGCTCTCAGTCCTCTATATTTTCTCCTCCATTCCTCCTCCTTCTTCCAGCGCTAACGGCCTGAGCCGATACCACAGAGCCTCGTACAACAGGAGCCAGGAGCCAGGAGCCTGAGCCGAGCCGTAACTAAAACACGCATACACACAAAGAAAACAAGGTAAGTTCCAGACAAATACATCCGTATCATAACATTAGTCAGTCGTATCACGATAATTTCAGAATAATAAGCAAAGCGCTTCACAATAGCATCCGACATTTGGTACGATTTAGTGCTTACCGACAAATTGTCACTCTCCGGCGTAACGAACAGTGTTCATGCTTAAATCAATAGCCAAAATTCTTCCTTTTCACTCAAACAACATTTTTGCCAGTCATCAATCACATCTTTCGTCTTTATCTTTCGTAATTATTCATATTCTAGCCAGACCTTGTCAAAATCGAGCCGAAAGAAAGTAAAAAACAAAACAATCCGGTAACCATAGCAACATAGCGTAGTTACCATAGGCGGAGGGCACCGCCGCTGAGCGGCGTCGCAACGGCACCGCCGCTGGGGGCCGTGCGGCGCTAACACCCGCCCCCTTTGAACCATCCAGGTTCAAAACCAACTTCTTAACTATACCTACATATAACAACACATAGGCACACTGCACAGCCTACCGAAACAAGCGTCGCTGAGATCAGCATCAACACACGCAAGTAGAACGCATCCTATATACATGCACCGTTCCTGATTTCTATCATTGTGATTGTATCATGAGCCTGTGTGGCGTGTCATGATCTAAAGTGTCCGGTGTCAATGACTTAGCGGTGTGCTGCTAGACTCATGCTGTGTTATACAGTGTAGCTGCAGCTCCATCGCTTCACCAAGACTGCTCTTCTGCGCCCAGAATCTTCACTACCTTCGTGACAGGTCTCAGAAACATGGTTCCTCGAGCGCGGACCTTCACAGAGCGCACACGCCCGTCCTTACTCATCAGGGTCTCCTTCACGAGACCCAGCGGCCACACACCGCGTGGTACCGATTCGTCTACCATGACGACGACGTCACCGATCCGCAGGTTCGTCCGACTTCTCGTGGCAGCGCGAGATCGCTGCTGCAGGAGAGGCAAGTATAGCCGTCTCCACGAACGCCAAAACTGCTCAGCTAGGTAAGCAGCTTGTCGCCATCTCTTGGGTCCATCCAGGTCATCTTCACTTGAAGAATCACATACCGGTGTCACACACTTCAAATGCAGGATGTGATTCGGAGTCAGAGGCACCTCGTCACGAGGGTCCGACGAAACCGGCACCAGCGGCCGATTGTTCATGATGCACTCGGTTTCGCACAAGAGTGTGTGCAACACAAGAGTGAGTGTGTGAGAGTGAGTCGCACAAGAGTGAGTGTGTGTTTGTGTGTATGCGTGTTTTAGTTACGGCTCGGCTCAGGCTCCTGGCTCCTGGCTCCTGTTGTACGAGGCTCTGTGGTATCGGCTCAGGCCGTTAGCGCTGGAAGAAGGAGGAGGAATGGAGGAGAAAATATAGAGAAACGTCGTTCACGGGCTCTCAGTCCTCTATATTTTCTCCTCCATTCCTCCTCCTTCTTCCAGCGCTAACGGCCTGAGCCGATACCACAGAGCCTCGTACAACAGGAGCCAGGAGCCAGGAGCCTGAGCCGAGCCGTAACTAAAACACGCATACACACAAAGAAAACAAGGTAAGTTCCAGACAAATACATCCGTATCATAACATTAGTCAGTCGTATCACGATAATTTCAGAATAATAAGCAAAGCGCTTCACAATAGCATCCGACATTTGGTACGATTTAGTGCTTACCGACAAATTGTCACTCTCCGGCGTAACGAACAGTGTTCATGCTTAAATCAATAGCCAAAATTCTTCCTTTTCACTCAAACAACATTTTTGCCAGTCATCAATCACATCTTTCGTCTTTATCTTTCGTAATTATTCATATTCTAGCCAGACCTTGTCAAAATCGAGCCGAAAGAAAGTAAAAAACAAAACAATCCGGTAACCATAGCAACATAGCGTAGTTACCATAGGCGGAGGGCACCGCCGCTGAGCGGCGTCGCAACGGCACCGCCGCTGGGGGCCGTGCGGCGCTAACACCCGCCCCCTTTGAACCATCCAGGTTCAAAACCAACTTCTTAACTATACCTACATATAACAACACATAGGCACACTGCACAGCCTACCGAAACAAGCGTCGCTGAGATCAGCATCAACACACGCAAGTAGAACGCATCCTATATACATGCACCGTTCCTGATTTCTATCATTGTGATTGTATCATGAGCCTGTGTGGCGTGTCATGATCTAAAGTGTCCGGTGTCAATGACTTAGCGGTGTGCTGCTAGACTCATGCTGTGTTATACAGTGTAGCTGCAGCTCCATCGCTTCACCAAGACTGCTCTTCTGCGCCCAGAATCTTCACTACCTTCGTGACAGGTCTCAGAAACATGGTTCCTCGAGCGCGGACCTTCACAGAGCGCACACGCCCGTCCTTACTCATCAGGGTCTCCTTCACGAGACCCAGCGGCCACACACCGCGTGGTACCGATTCGTCTACCATGACGACGACGTCACCGATCCGCAGGTTCGTCCGACTTCTCGTGGCAGCGCGAGATCGCTGCTGCAGGAGAGGCAAGTATAGCCGTCTCCACGAACGCCAAAACTGCTCAGCTAGGTAAGCAGCTTGTCGCCATCTCTTGGGTCCATCCAGGTCATCTTCACTTGAAGAATCACATACCGGTGTCACACACTTCAAATGCAGGATGTGATTCGGAGTCAGAGGCACCTCGTCACGAGGGTCCGACGAAACCGGCACCAGCGGCCGATTGTTCATGATGCACTCGGTTTCGCACAAGAGTGTGTGCAACGTCTCTTCTGTGAATGTTTGGCTGGTTAACAGACCATTCAGGATCTTCCGGACGCCTCTGATGAGACGCTCCCACACACCGCCGTGGTGGGAAGCGGCAGGAACGTTGAACATCCACTCGATGCCCTTGTCCAGCATCGCTCTCTTCAACTTCTCTTCGTTCGCGTGCAGTGCATCAACTTCTTCCTTCAGCTCCTTGTCTGCTGCTGTGAAGTTCGTTCCCCTGTCGGAACGCATCAGGCGAACGTTCCCGCGTCTTGCAATGAAGCGGCGCAAGGCACAAATGAATGAGTCCGCAGAAAGGTTGTCTGCGAGCTCGAGATGCACGGCTCTCGTGCTGAGGCATGTGAAAATGACTCCAAACTTCTTCACCTGACCTCTACCTCTCTTGGCGTATAGCGGCCCGAAGTAATCTACACCAGTGCTACTGAACGGGTGAGTGGCCTCCTCTACACGATCCTGTGGCAAGTCTGCCATCTTCTGTCCCTCAACTGGGCGCTGTCGTCTTCTGCACTTCACACATCTGTGCAAACACCGTCGTACTGCGCTGTTCCCTTTCAGTACCCAGTATCGAGTCCTGAGTTCAGAAAGAACATACTGGCGTCCTTCGTGTCCTGCCCTCTCGTGACGATCAGCGATGATCAGGTCAGTTACCTTGTCCTTGTCTGGGAGAATCAGAGGATGCTTGGCAGCCCAGTCCAACGCAGAGTTCATCAAGCGTCCGCGCATCCTGATGAGACCGTCCTCCACGAATGGGCTCAGCCGCGCCAGACGACTGGCACATCGCACCTCACGTCCCACTCCCAGGTCAGTCAGTTCTTGCAGAAAATGAGTTTTCTGAACATGCTTCACGATGATCCTCTCGGCATCTTCTATGTCAGCAGGAGTGAGCTCCCTCACATTGGAGGCTCCCTGCTCGTCTCTGGCCTTCAGCTGCAGAGTCTTGATCGTTCGGCGGATCCATGCCACCGCTCTCGTGAGTCTCTTCCATGACGAATGATATTCAATCAGACGATCGATGGGATTGGCGCTGGAGTTGTCAGCCTTCTTGTTCTGCACGACGACAGCTGCCGAACTTGTCTTCGCTTGCTTCACTTCCGGGTCATCCGGGTGAATCTCACCGACGCACGGAGACCTTGGCCAATTCTCCTGTGAGCTCCTGAGAAATGGCGGGCCGTTGTACCACATGTCGCTGTCTTGCAGTACTCCTCTTGAAACCATGTCAGCAGGATTCAGCGACGAGGGTACGTACCGCCACTGTTCGTTCTTCGATCCAGCGTGTATCGCAGCAAGTCGATTCGCCACATAGATGTGATAGCGCGAGGTCTCGTTCTCGATGTAACGCAACACGGTCGTGCTATCCGTCCAAAAGGTGACGTCATGGATCTTCATGTCCAGTGCTCGCAAGAGCTCTTGGTTCACGTCTACGGCAAGCTTGGCTGCGGCTAGTTCAAGACGCGGGACCGTAATCGCTTTGAGCGGAGCGACTCGGCCTCGGCTAAGAGCCAGGGAACAGAACACTTCACCATCTCCGCGCACAGTGCGTATGTATGACGCGGTGCCATAGCCCTTCAGACTGGCGTCACTGAAGTGGTGCAGACTCATTGCATCCGCGGCACTTATGCCATACGGATCATAACATCTTGGCACGCGTACGTCTGGCAGGGACTTCAACCCACTCAGCCATCTGTTCCATTCTTCTTCAACTTCATTGGGAATGTCATCGTCCCAGCCGGTTCGTAGACGCGTCAGTTCCTGAAGAATCATCCGTCCTTGAAGAACGCGAGGAGCAGCCAGGCCTAACGGGTCGTAACAGGCTGCGGTCGCGGAGAGTATTCCGCGTCGAGTACGTGGTCTTCTGTTTAGAGCGTCTACGTCGATGCTGAATCCAAGCTCATCCCTGTGAGTATCCCAGAGTACACCTAAGACTCTCTCGCTAGAAGAGGTTTCCTGTCCAAGGTGAGTTTCAGTCTTTCCCTTGTCATCTTCTGATAGCGCTCTCAGAACTTCGGTGCTGTTGGAGTTGAACTTCGTGAGTCGGAAGCCACCCATGCTGCACAGCTGCTTCAGGTCCTGCGCCATCTTCGCAGCGGAGGCTTCTGACGTCGTCGATTGGCATACGTCATCCACATAGAAACTTCTTTGCAGTGTCTTCTTCACTTCGGGGGTGTATCCTGTGCCGAAGTCTTCTGCCGTCCGATGAAGAGCGTAGTTCGCGCAACTGGGACTGGATGTCGCTCCGAACAGATGTCTTGTCATCCTGAAGACACGTGGTGTTGAAGAAGTGTCGCCTTCTGGCCACCACAGGAAGCTCAGATAGTTCCTGTCGCTCTCCGGTACCATCACCTGAAGAAACATGGACTCGATGTCACCGGTAAAGGCTACCGTCTCTTGTCGGAAGCGGACTAGCACGTCCACCAGGGAGTTCGTCAGGTTCGGGCCTTGCATGAGTACATTATTCAGACTCACTCCATTGTATGACGCGCTGCAATCAAAAACTACTCTAAGCTTGTTTTTGGTCGGGTGATACACCCCATGGTGCGGGATATACCAGCGCTCTTCTTTTCCTTCTTCTGAGTCTGGTGCTGCTTCCTCAGCATATCCTTGAACCAGAAGCTTCTTCATCTGCTCCTTGTAGTCAGCTGCATATCTTGGATCCTTCTCGAACTTTCTTCTCAGTGATTCCAGTCGTCTTGCTGCCATCACTCTGTTGTCTGGCAGATCGGGTTTCGCATCTCGGAATGGCAGACCGATTTCGTACTTCTTTCCGTCCTTCTTGCATGTATCTTCCACCTTGAGGCACCACTTGACGTCCTCGACTGAGTAGCCTCTGCGACTATCATGGCTGTCAAGGAACTCGAGCTCGGGATCTTCCAGCATCTTGATGCGGTTGACACGCGCGACGTGTGCACCTGGTCCCTTCTTACCCTCAACGCCACAGACCAGCCAACCGTATCTGGTTCTGACGGCGTAGGGGCCCTTCTGACCTGGGCAGCTCACCACTTCCAATGGTTCTGACACCACGCTGGCGTTTGCACCGATGAGCAGACCGATCTCTCTTGATGTCTTCTCAGTAAAACCAGCTTCAACTCCACGTTGTCGGAGATGTGGCCACTTGCTGATGTCTTCTTGCCGTACGATGTCTTGCTTTTCCACCGGTATGTGCTCTAGAACATACAACGCTGGAAGTTCAACTTGGTTGCCACCATCTTCAGTTCCAATACTGACACCAGTGACCAACGAGGTCTTCATTCTTCGCTCTCCATTGATGGTGGACATGACTACATATGTCTTCTCGTCTGGTTGAATGCCTAACTGACTTGCCAGCTTACGTGAGATGAATGAGTGCGTGCTGCCAGGATCTATGAAGGCTCCAGTCAGCACGGACCGTTCCTTGACGTTGGCTGATACTGGAAGCACCTGCAGCTTTCCACCGCCTTCACACTCTTGTGACACATGTCCTGCCGTCACGACGTTGGCGTTGGGCAGCGCATCTCTGTGCATACTTGTAGGATGCGACTTCTCGCACTTCTTACAGCGGCTTCGTTTCTGACAGTTCTTGGAGATATGTCCTTCATGTAAGCAGCCGAAACATAGTCCATGTTGACGTATGTAGTCAGTCTTCTCTTCCTCAGTCTTCGCCCCGAAAGCTCTGCAAGTCTCCAGGTCATGAGGATGCTCGCAGTAGGCACACTTGGCCGGTTGCTTCATGTTGCTTGCGTAAGCTCGACTTCTTCGTTCTTGGTGGAGCTGATGCTCCCGATTCTTCATCTGCTTTCCTGCAGGCTGCTGTGCTTTCTGCACGGTCGTGGCTTGTGGTCGTGTGTCCTTCTTCTCTTGAGCACTGAGCACATGTCTTCCATAGACAGAGTGGGACACGATCCTTGCTTCTGATTCGATGAACTCGACGAAGTCTCTGAAACTGACCTGCCTCTGGTCAGTCCTCTTCCTTTCTCCGTCTTCTCTTCTGTCTCGTCTCTGATCCTGTTCGATCCTGTCGACCGCTCTGCGCCAGCGATCAGCGACCCACGGCGTCTTCTGAATGGCCTGGCAGATCATCCATGAATCAAACCCACTGTCTGCCAAAACAGGTGAGTGAAGAGCGTTGAGAGCACCTCGCAGAAACACTGAGTAGTCATCAAGGCCGTTCACATCTTCATATCTCACGCGCGGGTAGTTTTGAATCTTCTCGATCACTGATGCTCTAGACTTCATCACATTGTCATATCTCACCTTGAGTAGACGAATAGCTTCACTGTAACCATCATCACCCAGGTAGACGCAGGTGGCTACAATGTCACGAGGCTTACCTTTGGTCAGCTGCAACAGGTACATCAGCTTCTCTTCTTCCCTGTCCAGCCTACATGCAATGTTAGACTGGAAAGCTGTGATGAATGGTAGGAAGTCTTCTTCGGTTCCATCAAACGCACGTAACTCCAATGGCTGAAGTCCGATTCTTCTCATCACCAGCCTGTCCGTTGTGTTGAGATCCATTTGCTGAACTGAGCCAGCCGACTTGTCATGAGATGCTCTTCCTGCACCTGCATGTCTGTCTGCTTTCGTTTCATTGTCTTGTTTTTTGTCATGTTTCATTTCATCTTGTTCACTTTCATGTGCTTCATCATCTTGCTTATGTTCATTTCCAGCTTCATCGTCTTCTTCATGTTCAAGTGCTTCAAATCGTGCCAGCACAGCTTCTTTGGCTTCACACTCCTTTAGTTCAGCCAGCAGTTGCACTTCCTCTTGCTTTCTGCGCAAGTTTTCTATCTGTTCCTCAAGTTCATGTTTCTGCTTCAATGCATTCATCTTCGCCTTCAGCCCGGCTAATCTGGCCGCTTCAATAGCTCTCTGTGACGTGACAGATGCTCTGCTGGACGTAGACTTGACTGATCTTGCATCAGTACCATCGTGACTTCTTACGTCCATCTGAAACGCTTCCTTTCTTGCGATCGACTCTGGATCAACATCGGCTTGACTTCTTGCATCTTCATCGGGCATCACCGCTTTCTTGAAGCACGCCTCCTCTCTCAGAACTTGCGCCAACCGCTCCTTCAGAACAGCTTTGGTTCCTCTGGAATCTTCTCCGCGGGCGTCCAGCTCACGCTTCAGGTCCCGCACTACCAGTTTCTCGATGTCAATGTCCATAGCTGATGTATGTTAATATACCTATGTGCATGTGAAAGCGTAATGCCAAATGTGTTCAGCACTGATAAACAGCAGCTGTCATAGTCGGGTGCATCTCGTGTCAATGTACCGCGAAATGTACCAATAGCAGTACCATATTGTACCCAAGAAGCATATAACTGTCAATGTTCAAATCGTCTGACTGTCAAATGTACCTACCAATGGCAGCATCATATGGTACCAAAACAAACCCATTGTCAAAGCTCATATTGCCTGGCTGTGGAACGTACCAAGGCAACATCATGTTGTACCAAATCAAGCCTGTCATCAAAGTTCACATTCCCTGGCGGCAAAATGTAAGGCAGCACCGTACCGTACACAACATGCGTCGACCAGGTTATATCCGGCCAGGCTGCGAAACGTACCAACGGCAGCACCGTTCTATGCACAACATGGGTACACTGCACTTGTACCAATGGCAACAGTTCAACATGGCAACACTGATCATCGGTACCACTTAGTACCAATGGTACACTCGTACTTCTAGCGCAGTCGGCGCAGGCTGCCAGTCGTACCAACGGCAACAGTCAACAAATGTTCCACGAGCATTAACACTGACGAATAGTGTTTTTCAAAGCAAGAGTTCATCTGGTAGGCAATGCAATGCGCAAATGGCGACAGCATCAAAGCAAGCTGCTGAAACTAGTGACATTGTGGCACTTATCGCGTTGTAGAATTTGAAGTCTGATGGCGCTGGAGAACTCGCCGTTTCCGCCGCCGTTCTTGAAGTCGCATTCTTGAAATTTGTCGTTACTAAATGTTCGCGCGCCGTCAATGAGAAACGTCGTTCACGGGCTCTCAGTCCTCTATATTTTCTCCTCCATTCCTCCTCCTTCTTCCAGCGCTAACGGCCTGAGCCGATACCACAGAGCCTCGTACAACAGGAGCCAGGAGCCAGGAGCCTGAGCCGAGCCGTAACTAAAACACGCATACACACAAAGAAAACAAGGTAAGTTCCAGACAAATACATCCGTATCATAACATTAGTCAGTCGTATCACGATAATTTCAGAATAATAAGCAAAGCGCTTCACAATAGCATCCGACATTTGGTACGATTTAGTGCTTACCGACAAATTGTCACTCTCCGGCGTAACGAACAGTGTTCATGCTTAAATCAATAGCCAAAATTCTTCCTTTTCACTCAAACAACATTTTTGCCAGTCATCAATCACATCTTTCGTCTTTATCTTTCGTAATTATTCATATTCTAGCCAGACCTTGTCAAAATCGAGCCGAAAGAAAGTAAAAAACAAAACAATCCGGTAACCATAGCAACATAGCGTAGTTACCATAGGCGGAGGGCACCGCCGCTGAGCGGCGTCGCAACGGCACCGCCGCTGGGGGCCGTGCGGCGCTAACAGAAGTTGTGAAGTTGGTGTGAATAAATGTTGCCTTTTTATTATTGATGATTGTAAAGAAATCTGTAATTATCACTGGGAAGAGCTCAGGTGCGACATCAATTTCTCTAAACATCGCCAATCGTGCGTTATATTTAGGTGGCAGCAAAAGCTGCCAACCGTATCTTACGTAGTCAAAAATGGAGCAGTTACGTCCTTTTTGCTGTGCCATTCGTACATGAGCAGCAATGCCTGACTTTATGGCGCATAGTGTAATGCCCCAGTTCCTTGCCTTTCCAAAAAGGGTCATTATCGGGGTTTCTGCTATGTATTCTTGTCTGCAGAGCATCACATACCAATGCACTACCAGGCGTATAATGTATTCCGCCATAGCTGAAGCATGGGGGCGTTGAACTACGCTCTAACGGAGTGGTGCGGACAAACTGTCATCAGAGGATCCATCCCTTAAAAGGCACGCCATCGCCTAAGGGAAGATGGTGCCGTGGCTCTATACTCTATAGACGAACGGGAAGAGGGGCGCCTTTGAGGCCTATGGGGCCGCCCCCGCCCTGCTCCCGCAGTAGCGGCGGAACACCTTCAATTAAAGGGGGGGGGGGGGCACTGTCGACTTTTGGTCCCATTCTTTCCATGCAACGCCCACAGGGCTAACGTTAAAATGCCAAAATCAAAGGGGGGCACGGTGCCCCGGTGCCCTCCCCGTTCCGCCGTCTATGCGGCTCCCGCCCCCCCCCCCCCCATGCAAAAGAGGGGCGCCTACAAAGGTCATGGCCATGATGGCGCATCTGCACTAAGAGGGGCGCCTGCATGCCGAAGACGGGCGCCTATGAAGCCCAGTGGGGCGCCTCAATGAGAAAGAGAGACGCCTGTAAGGTCTATAGGGGTGCATCTGTTGTCCACTCCATAGGGACACCTTAATGCGAAAGAGGGGCGCATTGCATGCGAAAAACGGGCGCATTGCACAAGAAAGAAGCGCGCCTCTGAGACCTATAGGGTTGCCTTTGATGACCAAATGGGCGCTTACCTGGGAGAGAGGGGTGCCTATAAAGCTATAAAGGGACGTCCGCCATGTGAAAAAGGGGCGCCAGGGACTTGAGCGCCCTTCCGAGCGGTCCGAGGTCGCCGGGAAGTTTGCACATGTCTAGCTCCTGCTGCACTATCCTCCAAAATAATTCGATTGGATTTAGGCCAGAACTGTTCTCTAGCCAAGTGTCCTTCCCCCAGATATCGGACAGATGGTTCTGGCACCGCCTAGTTCCGGAAATGGGCGCCGATGACCACTGTTATAGTGCGGGCGCCCAAAAACCCCAATTCATCATCATCATCATAGTTCCGAAAGATTGATGAGATGGAGTACCGTCCAGCATAAAAATGCTGTCCGACCTGCGGGACACCATGCGCCGTTGGAGCACACGGTAGTGGTGACCGCCCTGTTAATGCCAGATGCACGTTTTTCTCAGTATGTTTTCTGTGTAGTAGTCGGGATCGACTTCGTCTTTTGCTAGATCACGTCCAGCTGGTTCAGCTCAGGTCCTGCTAGGACATCGTGATAGATCGGCATACCATTGCGGCGAGAATTTTACGCCGAAGTCTGTCGAAACTTGGGCCGCGTTTTCAGCCCATTCTCGTTTTGATGGTCCGTGTGGTGAAACCATTGACACGGAGACTCATCGCCGAACTAGACCCTTTTGTACATACTTACTCAGTTTCCACTCTTCTACCGACCAGATTTTCCGTTTCGTGCAAATCTGAGGGCTCTGGGCTTGCTCATTTTCGTTAATTTTGGCCGTACCAATAGTCAAGCGCCTTCAGTCCAAGGGTGTTCCTCCCTTATCAATGGACAACATTATCCGAGTGATCCTTATGAATAAGACTTTTGATCAGGTTCTCCGCAGAATGGTCAAATTTCCCAGGTGCTTTCTTCATGACAATGTTGGCGACGGTTGAGACGCAGGAGGACCATGTTGATTGGGGTTTATACCCACGTGACGCTACTTGTCCCTAAAGTTCTTCCCCCAGCGCTTGTTGGTGAAAACGGGGGCTTAAAAGTGTTAGGCAGCGTCCTTCGATGTGTTGCCAGCTTGGAGCATGCAAATAGCGCAACTACGAAGCTCTCACTGTAAAGCTGACCGTCCATGCTTAGGCGTTCAGTACATACAATTCGCTGTAAATGCGCTGTTCAATGGTTAAACAATTACCCATACCAGTAACCCCCATTCGTAGAGGTCAGCTTTTTAGCTAATCTTCGCTTCAGAGAAGGACTCAAGGACACAATGCGTTCAAAGTAACGCGATAGCGCATTGGAGCACATTGGAAACACGCCAAGTTGTTTTAAATAAACGGTCGACGGAAGTAAACCTTCGTCGCAGCCTGTATAAGATTGTGTGGGGAGGGAAAGCGTGTGTGAGCTGAAATAGTGAGAGAAAGAACATTATCTCTCAGAACGAGCTGATCTGTTAGCTGATGTCTTGATTTTTAGCCATTATTCTTGAGAATAATTGGTTACGGTCGTTATTTGCAGGCTACGGTCGAATGGAAATCCGAACAATAACACATATTCAAGACCATATCTGGTACGGAAATAAAATAGCTCGTGAAAATTGTACAAGCACCGATAAGAGGCACTCTGTGGCAAAGGTTGTTGGTATCGAAACATCATTTCCTCGCGGTCTTGATATGTTTGTGCTTTGAAATGTGACAAACTACTCCATTTTTGACTACGTAAGATACGCTTGGCAGCAAAAGCTGCCAGACCGGAAACGTACACTTCCGGTTTCGTGATCTGGCTAAAAATGCACATGTGTTCTCCTAGAGGGTGCCTGACAAACATATGTTAAAATCGCAGTGAAAGTCGACAAAAAGAGTTTTCGGCTCTAATGGGTTAAGCTCGCGCTCGTCCTGGCGGATTTCCACCATCACCGGAAGGTTTTTCGAAAATCGCGGAAATATCGCAGTGCGTAGTGTGACAAAATGTTGTATGAATATTTCCCATCACTTTACATTTGTACGCAAGCGGCGTCCCTCTTGTTTTGAATGTCAGCTCACTAGATCACTTTGAATGACCCGACTCCAAATCACTTTTAAATCATTTAACCAATTTTATTTTGTTTCATTTCAGAAAAGGTCCGCCGCTAGATTTGTCGCGACGGGTGTGCTGACGTACATTCAACGTACCTTTGATTCCGAGCTAAAACAGAAGTTCGTATCTATTATTCTTGCTGTTCATTGGTAGTTCACCAATGCACGCATACACTAAGCCATTTTCGCGACAGAGCATTGGACACCTGTTTAATTGAATTTGAAAACAAAAAAGCAAAGCGATCGACATGGCATTCGAAAGGTGGAAACCCTACTAATAATAGGGTTTACAACCTAACCTACCGAAGCAACCTAAACCTAACAATTTTGGGTTTTACCTTAATAACCACTAGAATTTATCAGTAAAAAAAAAAAAAAAAAACGGATGAAGCGTATTAAATAGGTGCTGGATATTCCGTTGTGTTGTGAAAAGGGCTTATGCTCAGAATTGGTGTCGTGCATGCAATAATTGCATTGACATTGGCGGATGCAATGATGCAGCGCAACAAAGCACAACGTTTGAAGTTCAATGCAAATGTATGCACTATTTCAGCATGAGCTGCGCAGTAGAAGATCCTTGTGATCTTTGCATTTTCCGCCACAGAAAGGTTTATGGGTGTGATCATGCTGCGATCATAAGGAAAATATCTCACCCGTTAACAAGCCCTTGACAATCAATTTCAAAGATATTCAGAACAAAATAAACTCTTCTCATGTGAATGTGCTTCTTTTATTTTGCCCTGTCGGTGGATACACCCATTAGTGAGACAGTGCTGAGTTCGGTAGCTTTTATTTGCGAATCGCATCAATGCACGAAACAAAATCTTGATAACACATTGCAGGGAAGGAAAACGGAATGACAGGAAGTCAATGAGATTGACGTTTCTATAGCCAACACCTGAAAATGTACAATCGTAAAGGGTAAAGGTACAATATGGGAGCAAGTGCTTCCACGGGAAAGGATATCAGTTGAAATTCTCAATCTTCTTTTTGTTTGGAGTGAATAAAGCTTACAAAACAGTTATGTGGGTATTTGGTAACGGTGAAGCTTTCTGACAATAATTGTAATTGAGATGCTCTATTATTATTATTTTTTTAATCATCTGGCTATTCTTATGTGAATGAGTATCAATTGAAATTACTTTGACCAGGAACCTCGAACGTCGTATATCGTTTGACGGAATATAATTTGGTCAGGGAACGTGAGTCAACTGGAGGTCAGGAAGGGACGAAGAGAGCACCTGGTGTCATGTTTTTACTAACCAAGTCAGTGGCGGATCCAGGGGAGGGCAAATAGGGCAATTGCCCTCCACAAAGGACATCATTTTTAACATTGCGTCTATGGCAGTGCATGAAAAGAAACAATAAACTGTGATGGTTTGCCCCTCCCAAAACTCTGGGTTGGATCCGCCTATGAACCAAGTGCAAGAATATCCATAGGTCTGAGACTAGCCAGAGGCTGGGAAGCCAGAGTTGCTGATTCGGTTCAACGGAACATATATCCACCAGCACTCTGTCCTCCGCCATACTGCCCGCCGGCATGATATCCTCCGGCATTCTGCCCGCCTTCGCCCGCGTTCTGCCCGCCTGCGTTCTGTCCGCCGGCGTTCTGCCCGCCTACGCTCTGTCCGCTGGCGTTATATCCAACGGCGAACTGTCCGCCAGCATACTGCCCTCCGGCATTATATCCACCGGTGTGATATCCTCCGGCATTCTGTCCGCCTCCGCCAGCGTTGTGTCCGCCAGCGTGCTGTCCGCCAGCGTTGTGTCCTGCGGCGTTGTGTCCTCCGGTGTTCTGTCCGCCAACGCTATGACTGCCAGCGCTCTGTTGGCCTCCGTCTGCGTTATTGGCGCCAGCGTACTGTCCACCAACGCTATGACCGCCAACACTATGTCCGCCAGCGTTCTGTCCGCCTCCGCCGGTACTCTGTCCGCCGGCGTTATGGCCGCCAGCGTACTGTCCCCCCTGTCCGCCAGCGTTCTGCCCATTGGCGTTATATCCACCTGCGAACCGTCCGGCAGCATACTGTCCTCCGGCGTTTTGTCCGCCGGCGTTTTGTCCGCCGGCGTTTTGTCCGCCGGCGCTATGTCCGCCAGTATTCTGTCCGCCGGCGCTATGTCCTCCAGCGTTTTGTCCGCCAACGCTATGACCGCCAGCATTCTGTCCGCCCGAGTTCTGTCCGCCTGTTTTATGTCCGCCAGCGTTCTGTCCGCCTTTTGGATGCTGGATGGAAGCAAATTCGCAGAAAACTCCGGGGGTCTGATCTGGGAGACGACACAATCTGGAAAGCAGCTGGCGGGGATGGGACGGCAATTGAGCACACAGAACCAGTGGGACACAGGCTCCCTCCCTTGACCTGCCGTGTTGTCCGCTTCCGCTGTTGGGAGCGATTCCGCCTCCTTGAACGGATTTATGAGGATTTATGGAGGCGGATTTATGAGGCGGATAAGTCTGGTGGCTCGTCTGGTAGTAGTTGTTGTTTGTTGGTGCTGGTGTAGTGGTGGTTGTGGTCGTGGTGGTTGTTGTTGGTGTCGTGGGGGTCGTTGGTGTCGTTGGTGTTGTTGGCGTTGTGGGCGTTGTTGCTGCCGTTGTTGCTGATGCTGTTGTTGTTGCTTGCGTTGTGGTTGTGGTTTGTGTTGTTGATGCCGTCTGCGTTGTGGTTGCTGTTGTTGTTGTTGTTGTTGGCGTTTCTGTCGTTGTTTTCTGTGTTGTTGTTGGTGCCTTTGTCGTTGGTTTCTGTGTTGTTGTTGGTGGTGCTCTTGTCGTTGTCGTCGTCGTCCTTGTCTTGTTCTCGCGCCTCGCTGCTCCTGTTTTCCTGTTTCCTCGTCTCGATGCTGTTCGCGTCTTGTGGCTTGACGTTTGCGTTGCTGTCGCCCTGCTGTCTACGTTCGGTACTGCTGCTGCCTGGTTGCCGGCTTTTGGTGCCGTTGTCTTGTTGTCTGGAATTGATGCTGTCGGTTTTGATACAGTGGTTTTTGGTTTGTCTTGTTTGGTTGATGCTGCCCTGCGGTTTGACGTCGTTCGCTTTGTCGCGCTGCTGGCACCGTGTTCCCTTCCTTTTCTGTTATTTCTTGATGCACGTTTTGTTGAAGTATTTGCCCGTTTAGCTTGTTTCTCCCCAGCTGTTTCGTTTTCGGCGTTGTTTTTGTCTTCCTTATTTTTGTTTCGCTCAGCACGAGGTGCAGTGCCTTCAACTCTACCCCTGTTGTTTTTCTGCTTTCTTTCGCCTGACCGCTTCCTAGAAGAACGACGTCTGCTACTTCTGCCATTTTTGCTGCGTCTTTGGGATGATGTTTTCCGAGAGCTGCTCCGCCTTCTGTTAGACCTGCGCTTGTTTTTCCTGGATCCTCCCCTCCGTCTTCCAGACTTTGCCGAACGCCTCCTGCTGCTGCTTGTCGTTCTTCTGGATTTTGCTTTTCCTCTGCGAGAAACTGAACTCTCTGAGCTACCGCGTCGCTTGCCGTCAGCATCTCTTGAGCGGCTGGTTTTTGTTGCTTCATTTTTCTCAGACTCTTGCAAGCGTCGGCTATTCTTTTGACTTCTGCTTCGATTGCCTCGTCGACTCACCTTGCCGTCAGTTCCCTTTCTACCGCCGCTTCCGCGTCTTGCACTCTTGTTCTTGTCATTGTCATCATCGTCATCGTCGTCTTTGTCGTCGTCTTTATCATCGTCTTTCCCATCGTTGTTGTCATCGCTGTCGTCGTCTTTGCCATCGTCGCCATCGTCGTCGTCGTCGTCATCGTCGTCGGCTGTTGTCTTGGGCTTGCTAATGGAGTGATCGTGTGGTCCTGACGTCTGGGGCGAACCTTGCTGATGACCTTCAATACCCCCACAGCACACTCCCTGGCCTCCAGCCGCGAGAGCGCACTTTGTGGCGGTATCCCCCCTCCTCGGGCATTGCTTCTTACACTCGCAGCCGGCTGCGATCTGGCTGATGCAGAACAAAATTGCCGCCACGAGCAGCACCTGAAAATGGAGTGAAATGTGTTAGATGTCAGACGCTGCTTACAACATGGTTTGTAGTAAAATACAGGAGCACGAATGACAACTCGAATATATGGAACAGCCGCTTTCTCGAGCATCAAGCTGTACTGATCTCGGGCAGCTTTTGCCAAATTGTCAGGGAACTCAGATTTGTTTTTCAATAGAAAAACACAATTCTAAAGAATAGTGTTTCAACTATTGACAACAATCCTTCGGTTATGCTATTTACGGCTTTGCCATCATTTTGCTTGGCGTGGTGAACGTTTATGTGTTCTGCCGCAATAGGATCTGCAAATTAAATGTATTTTAAAGGGACAGTATCATCGAAAAAAATCCATGTATGGAGCTGATTTTTTTTTACTAGCATTTCTTATTTTTCTGAATCAGAAAAACATAGTTTGAGGACCGAACTCGGTGAAAAATATTGCAACCACATTTCATTTTCATGATTCATTTTCATGAGCGAACCACCACTATACAAGCATGGCTGCCAGTTTGGAAGCATGCAAAATTACTACAGAACTGGCGCAGATAATACATTATTGACGCTACGCTTACGCGGTCGTTCTTCTGATTGAGTTGTCCTTAGGGAGAGGTAGCCTTAGGTATTGCCTATAAAAATATAACGTGACAATTGGAGGGAGTGACAATTGGACGTGACAATTGACAATGGGAGAAAATATCACGTGACAATCACGTGATAAACGTCATACATTGGAGGGAGATTGTGATTCAAGCTGGAGGAATTCCTTTGTTGAGCCGCTAGAATCCGAAGGAAACAGCGGAAATTGCCTACGACTATTTAATGAATTTAACGGTGATGAATAAGTGCGAAAAACGTTTTGGCTTTATAAAATTTGATGAAATGACCAGGGTAAAAGTTTTATTACTGGCGGTCAATTCAAAACGGCGCAAACATTTAAACAGTGAAGATAGTGAAGCACGATTCAAAGTGTGGTACACCTTTCGTACTTTGAGCGGCGATAGCGGGATAACGGTGTGGAGCTTCGAGGATCGGTCTTCAGTTCCCGGACCAGAAAGGTGGGGCCTATGCAATGTCAAATTTCATCAAAATGGTGATACTGTCCCTTTAAGGAATCAATTCAGGCATTGTTCACTGTTCAGTCCATGCCTCTTTTTGGATGAAAACAAACGAAGGCCGACCATAAGTTACTCAGTACCTATTTTAAATGTTGTATGTTTATTTAAGCTCTTGAAGCGGTTTAGGGAAAATCTCATTGATATACAATATACATACATAAATGGCCCAGCCTGCTTCCCGTGAAGTTTTTCGTAACCTTGCATCTCGGTAATCGCTTTACCGATTGCTAAATATTTTCCGCATTAGATAGGCCCGTCCTTTAAAAAAATTCAATTGCTTGTGATGGGCGATGGTGACAGAGCTACGGGACGTGCCTCGTCCCATATCAGGTGAGTGTAATTGGTTCCGTTTACAATAACTCCGCGATGACTGGGCCGATTGCGCTATGGTTAAGCGTATGAACTGAAACTCATCAGGCAATGCACTTTGATGCGTTTTAGTAGGGGTGCTACTGCACGTGCGCACTGCGCACGTGCAGGGGCGTTTTCTACATCTCCAGAACGGCTGGGCCGCTTGCGTTCAAAGCTAGTACAACTGAGATCGGTTTGAAGGGTGGCCCGAACAAGTTATCAGGAGTCTCACCGTGCACGTGGACATGCACAATGCTAACTATGTCGTTTGCCTATGTCATTATTCATTTCTAAATAGGTGTATTAATAATCCGTGTCTTTGTAGGGCCGATATGGCGCGTTTGACACATTATCAATGCTTTTTTTTAACTATTTCGCAATCCATTATCAGTTAATCAGGAATGCGCCCGCCTCCAACGCCAAAAAAATGCAAACCGTGCGCAACACAAGGGAAGTTAACGAGCTAAGTCGCTTCATATGAATGAATAGGCACAAAAAACACAATGACAGATATTACATAGACTGAACGGTCCAGACACTATTGCATAATGTATACCATACCAACAATTCTTACACCGTCACCTACCCTTTTGCCGTCCATGGTGGCCCGCCTTCTGAGCCGCACGAGCAGCGACAGTAGAGGGGGGACGCTGTCCCTTCGGCCCGGTACCTGCCCGGGTCTGGTCCTGCCTCGCCGCGCCCGGCATATATAGCTTCTGTGCAGTGCCGTCGCATGACGGTGATTTTTTTCCCTGTCCTGTTGCCGAGGGATGATGACAATGGATGATCGTGAGACAGATTCTGATTCCATAAGCAGTGCACGGCAGTTTGAAATTGTTTGGCTTCCTTGTGACAGACAGGACATCGTTTACGAGTGGGTGCATTCTTGCTTTAAGAAGGTCACTGGGGACTGACAGCTGATAATTGATAGGGTCTACCTATGTGAACCTAAGGTGAATCATAGTGGGCCTCCAGGACATCGGTCTTATCTGAACGTGAAAGCGTTCGGTCTTTTTAGCTTGCCTTAAAAGTAGCTTTAGATTCACTTTCGTGTGAAGATAAACATTGTAAACAGTAAACACAATAATCCAGTGATTCATCGCGAACCTACATGACGGTATAAACTACTGGGTCGGTTCCACAGTTTATGCTCTTACTATGAAAGCGTTAATATGAGCATCTTTATCACACTGTCGCAGAAAGAATATATCTTCACTCATTGCCTCCATGCACTATGATGTACAGATTCTCAGGTGCACAAACCTAAGTTATCGTAGCTGTGCTCATAGCATTGTTGTTATATTGGTAGATTATTTCGAAAAAAATATTCTTCCAAAATAAGGATAAACATGAGAGCTGATGACACAACGCCGAAAGCTGCTCGATACAAATTTGTTTTTCTTTTGAAATAAGTATCTTTTGTTTAAACATGAGAGCACGGCTGTTTCTATTTTTCTGTATAATGGCTCTCAGAACAGTGTTAAAAACCATTCAAGGTTGAATTTCATTTCATTTCGTTTCATGCCATGAGGCACATACCATGGTTTGCGGATGAAATTTGTGGTGTATTTACATACGTCCCGATTGTAATAACATTGCTCACATTCCGATTACTGAAATCACGACAAACATGTTTTTTATGTTGAACAAGCCGTGCAAAATGACGGGATGGTAGGATATGATTGTCGTGCCAGGTGACAAATTGTTTCAAATCATAGTCAGCATAGCAAAACACAATGGTGTGAAAATCTAGTGTCTCACAATGAACACATTTCAGAGGTGTTACAGGGAAAATGCCATTCGCGCATTATTTGCAGCTGATCGATGCTGGCATGCCTTTACTCGCATGGGATAAGTTCTATTTCCAACAGCGGGTTTCATGACCAACCTGTATTTAGGGCCTTGGACCAACCAATATTTTGTTTATTGAATATCATGGTAAGACCAATGAGGAAGAGCTGAACAAAACAATTGGAATGCAAGATTTTACTAAGAAGCGCTGAGCCACAAATTATTTCAATGGCTCCTGCTCCACGCCAAGATGCATTTTACAGACTTTCGGCAACAGACAAAGGATGCTTTCATGTGATTGGGGAGCTATGTCTGAAGTAATACGTGTATGCTGTTTTCATGACAGTTGGAGCGAAGGGGGGAAAGCACAATAACGTTTTTGTATTTTCTTACCATTGTTACCTTGTTACCCATGGCAGCGACTAAAATTCGTACTCAAGCATTGTTGATGCTCGCTAGGTATGCTACCACTAACCTTACACTCCTAATATGGTATTGATCAGTTTACACACCGTTTTGTGTGAACCGTTGGAAACCTCTGCTTGTTCGATGACCGAATCGGTGAGTAGAGTGTGACCTGATATGGAAAGTGACTGGATTGTCGCTACAATAATTAGAAAACCGTCGCATTCTCTTCGTATCTCAATGCCACAGTCGACGTAATTTGAAACTTGATTTCGCTTGTCAGGGAACCGTTCTGAATTTCCTTTAGTCATGAACATAGCGCTGCGATGTTCGAGGTTTGTTTTATGAGGTCATTGGACAGAACCGTCTTTTCTTTCAAGTTCCCTCAAATGAAGGATTTTGTAATTCAGACAAAGTGAATCGCATATTCCATTCTACGCTCACATACACACACAGGAGTACGCAAATCTATTTAGCTTTGGTGCCAATTAGAACTTTGACACATGTTTTATGGCCCATTTCAGCCATGAATTTCGGTCACTTTCAGGTCAAATAAGGTCAGATTGTGAAGTTCAACAACAAAAAAAAAAACAGGTGTCTATTAGATGCAGTTTGAGCTCAGAAACACAATGGTGCTATTTATTTCGGTGTACGATCTACATAAAGTACTGAACAATTGTTTTGAAAAATTAAAATGATAGAATATTGAATACAAAGCGTACAACTCAGCAATTTTTTGAAGGTATCGGGCGACAACTTCCTAGAGTGGGTCATCGGTATGTGTTCTATCACATCAACTCCGTTTTTTTCTCGAAAAGTCAAACTTCTAAGGAAAAAAAATAAAAAACAAATTTTGAGTTTTATATGTGGGTATATATATAATTTTCGAATTTTTCAAAGATTTGGAAATCCGAGATTACAGTTTGAAAGCCTTGTGTATTCTGAGTCCTCTCATCTAAATAAATTGGATCGAGCTTAAAAACCGAGCTCTTGAGAACGCTTGGCGTAGTTCAATATTTTGCATCAAAATCGGCCGATCATGACGTCACTCTGACGTCGTTTCCGGTCAACCTATGATAAATTTGATTTAAACACAAGGTGTCAAATTGATGCAGCGGATGGTACTGCAAGTTTTGTGTTAATAGGTCCAGCAATTTAGAAGATATTGAAGAAAAACGAAAAATGAAATGAAATAACTGAAATGAAATATTAACACTTAACCCGCGCCCTGATGGGGTCTGCCGAGCAACGCGGCCTGCAATGGGGGGGGGGGGGGGCATTTTGCCCCCCCCCCCCCTAAGATCTCGAGAACCACGCAACATAGCGACAAGCGGTAAACGGCGTTGGAGAGCCCCAACGGGGAACTACCTTGTGACCCAATTTCATTGACCTCGGTCAAACCGATGACGTCACAGGTCAGGTCAAAGGTCGAATTTTCACCATTTACAGGCATTTAAAGAAATGCGTTGTAAAATCGAGTAAAATGCATTTCATTGAAAATCATCGATGGGGAAATGTTCTTCAAACACATATTTTGCTATTTGAGGTCACTGATACCAGGTCAGGTCACAGAGGTCAGGTCACTGGGGGGGGGGGGGGTCACAATATGAAAGTGTCGTGAGATACATGTTTTATGGTCCATTTTACATGACAAATGCGATTATGTGGGTCAGGTAGACTTTTGGGCCAGGTTAGGTCACGTTTTGGTCAAGGTCAGGTCAAGGTCAGGTCAAATTAGGTCAAATTTCAAAGTTGATATTTTTGCATAAAATGGGTATCGATTCGATGCAGCTCGTCACGGGGAGTTCAATGGTGGTCTCCTTTTTGCGCTACGAGGTCTAGAACTGCTAAAAATTGAGTTAAAAAATTCGACGTCATCAATTTTTGCAGATTTTTCGCTATAACTTGGCCAAAAAAAGGAGGTATCGATCTAAAATTTGGTATGTATATCGAAGAGCGCAGGGATCCTCTCACATATATTCCTTTTTTTTCGAAATTCGAATTCTTTTTTGATTTTCTTTTAATTTTTCAAAAAAACATCAAATTTTTATTTTTGGGGGTCAAAATCCCAAAATTTCGAAAATCAGAGATAGCAGTTTTGTAGCGCCGTCTTTTCTCTACACACAACCATATAAAGAACTTTAAAATTGCTTGTTAACTGTAGAATTGGTGAGCGTTTCAAGATGTCATGTTTTTTTGCTCATTTTTACTCGAACATGACCTCAGTTTGACCTCAATAACTCCTGACCTGAGGTGACCTGTGACTTGAAATTTTGTGTGAAGGTGTCAAATTGATGCCCGGTAAGGTACCCAAAGTTTGGTGGCGCTGTGCGCCGCCGTTTTCTCGCTATTTAAGAAAAACCACAGGGGGGGGCAAAATGGCCCCCCATCAGGGCGCGGATTAAGAATGAAATAACTATAATTATTTATGTATAGTCACTTTTCGGATTATTCTCTGGGATAATAATATCTAACTCACAATTATATTAATTAACACAATTATATATCTAACTCACAATTAAAAACATATATGTAATTGTTTTTATTTTGTCCAGTGACCAAGGGTGAGCAACATCATGCGAAATATATGGACTTGTGAGTTAGATATTATTATCCCAGAGAATAATCCGAAAAGTGACTATACATAACTAATTTCCTGGGAAAAATGACTTTAAAACAACATAACTATAATTATAATTATATATATTATAATATATATAGTTATAATCAGCATTACACTCAAAACATTTAATTTGTGTGTTTTGTGACAGCATTGACACGTAAGCTGTGAAATAAAACGACAACTTTTGTTTAATTTAAATTTAAAGAACTTGGTCTTGGTAAATGTTAATACGAGTAGCTACACCGCAATCAAGGAAAATTACCCCCCTTCTCAAAGATACATGCTAAAATCCGGTCAAGAAGTCCGAATAAATTCAACCAAAGTGAAAGTAAGGCCATGGACGAGAGATGGCATCCATTGTAATTTTAAAGAAACCGATGCTACAGTTCACATAATGCGAGAACCAGGGACAAACATGTTGGACGTCCATATTTCCGAGAACTGTCGGTATATCAAAAGCTGTTTTACGAATGCCGTGTGAGGGTGTACCTAGTTGTGCTGAAGATTCTCAGAAAATGTCACGTTGCGTGACACCCGGATCATATTATTTTCCGTTGAAGCCGACAGTGATGCTGACCTTTCATTTGGTTTGCGTGCTGAGGCGGCATCCAACGACAAATCCTGGCCGCACACCCACCTTGTTGATATGCACGTGGGTTACTTGGGAACATTTTGGACATGGTTAGTACCGTTCCGGCTGAATGCATTTTCAGGGGCGACGTCAGGTATTCTGGGCGGAGGGTAAATCAATGTCTCCCTGTGGAACGTATCCAGAGCGCCTCTGGAACTCAGTAACAATATGTTCTTGTGTTCTTTACCTAGTTTCTGCGGCGTTTCTTTAGCGTAGAGTAGCCTGAAAAGTAAGTGGTAATTTGTGAAACATTTTTCATTTTGTACCGTCTCATAATACCTACATTTGGTCTGCAAAGTTGTACCATTTCCTGTCGTCAGGGTCCATTGAAACTCAATTGTAAGTCCTGTTTACCGCGCTCTGACGGACAAGTATGTACAAGGATAGACGGACGAGTAGCCCGATGAAACGATTTCGCTGATATCTATGATAGACATTCTTGGCACATGATTTCCGAGTTCGACGAGAGAGCTCCATGAAATTACTTTCTACTGAATGTATGTATGTTAACATCGTAAGCCTCCATCCCAATAGGGGTACGAAACAAATCCATGCCCTGGCTCAGAATCGACAGGAGTCATCTTTTTTCATAAACATACCGTATATGTTGCATGCTGCCCTCCTCCTCCAGCTCCTGCTCCTTCCTCCTCCTCCTCCTCCTCCTCCTCCTCCTCCTCCTCCTCCTCCTCC